ATTTTATATATATTTTTTTAATTTAAATTCAATTATTTAACTTTAATGTATTATTGGTTTCAGAGGTAGAGATCACTGATTCATTAGTCTTATATAATACCCAGAGCTCATTACATCATGTGCCCTCTTTATTGCCCATCACCCCGTTATCCCATCTCCCATCCCACCTCCCCTCCAGCAACCCTCAGTTTGTTTCTTATGACTAAGAGTCTGTTGTGGTTTGTCTCCTTCTCTGATTTTGTGTTGTTTTAGGACTCCCCTATGGTGCGCTGTTTTCTTTCTTAAATTCCACGGATGAGTGAGATCATATAATTGTCTTTCTCTGATTGACTTTGATATGTCTGTATTCTCTCCTGGTTTTCTGTAACATAGTATTTCATATGCACTTTATTTTTCCCTTGAAACTGGAAGCAAAATTTTTTAATGGAGATACTGTCACTATCTAAAAAAAAGTTTTTAATGCATGAATACCAGATACAGGTACTTCATGCTATAAAGAGTTTAGTCACTCATCTGTTACTTTTAATAATTCAGAGTCTTGAGGTACCTTTCTGAACTAATTCTCTTTTCAGTCTTTATGACTTGGACATTGGCCAGTTAGAGTAGGACAGTTGTTAGCTGCTCTGGGGCTGGTCCCATCTGTGCTCTGTAGTCTAGTTGTGATGGTGATGGTGATGCTGGTGGTGGTCTGGTACCTTTTGAAATTAATCCTCCAGTGCTATGAATTCAGGGTCTAATAGTCTAATGATACTATTAAGTTGTTTTTGTAGCTGAGTAGACTATACTTATATGTCCTATGTTTTCTGGGAGATGTTGACATAATCCCTTCAAAAATCTTAATTTGAAATATTCTTTCCCCTGGACAGTTCAGGACTCTCTTTGTTGTTGAGATATATTTTTATATTTGGTATGCCCTCTCCTCATCCTTTATTCAACTTAACTTTCCATCAATAAGTGAAGAAGTGAAAATATACCTGCCTACCTCTTTTCTTGGATTTCTTCCTTCCCTCTTAAGCTCTAATACCTCCTCATTTATCCTTCCAAAATATTGCCTACTTGCTTAAGGGTTTACTCCCATTGAGCAGAACCAGATTTTAGTTGTATAACTATTTTTATATATTTGCAGTTTCTTTCATCAGTAAACCATTAGGTAAAATCACTGTTCTCACAGTATCATGGTTTAACTGTGGGAGAAATCAGATATGTGAATATTCAGAGGGATCAGAAGATGAGCTGAAGTTTGGAAAAATGCCTAAAAATTTGCATTTGAAACTTGATGCATTAGACTTTCTTTGATTAAAAATTCTAGGTTTTTGAGTATTTGTCTCCACATTACTTAATTCTCTTAAGCTGT